GAATAGCCCTTAAATGTGACCTTGCGTAGTTTAATGAACGGGTCAGCTGAATGTCTGTTCTCAGATCTGCGAACTTCACTTCAATCAGTGATTTTTTTTCGCAGTTATTAATATATTAGGAACAAAGTTCAAGATTAGAAACTGTTGAACCTATACTTAACCCTTTCTCTTCACAATGCAGTATTGATAGCCAATAATTGCAATTTAGTTATGTCTATCAGACTTAGAATTTTTATCTCACCTAGAAATCATATTGATAAATAATAAGCTTCCATGAACAATTTCCCATTTTGAAGCGTTCTTAGCCTCTGTTACTGTCTATATCTGTTGTATTGTATTTACTGCATTACCGCGTATAAGTGCAAGCAGGCGCAACTCGATCTAATTTACGCTAGTTGCCTCAAGACCTCGGGAAAATTACTACAGCATCATGCAAAATGCATTAACGGATCGGTACGAGGCTCAATGTAACTTCTGTGTAGTTTTAGAATTGCTTGCGGATGTTCATCAGTGTTTGTGTGTGAAGACATACGCAAGTAACTATGTTTATGGTGTGCCTTATAAACGTTAGTGGCGGCGACGCATCATGTGCACATTTATGATTACGGTTTCATTCTTGCTGCCAACGAATAGCTATTGATTAGCGTTTTCGTTCGCCAGTTTTTATGTGCATAAATTACATCGCAGTATGATGTCTGCTGCTATATTTAGTTTAAAATAGACACATATTGTTATGGCTTTTGAATGTGACAATGCACTGATGAGAACAGGTAGGGGTTAGCTACATGCTTATGTTGTTGAAGTATGCGCGATTTTTAAGAAACCAATGTAGCTGGAAACAGCCCTTATGTTAAGCCTTCATTTTGTAACAACCAAGAGTGCAGACCCGACTCGTTATCACCATTCCATTGCTGGTCAGTGAACGCCTATCATTTGTATTGCTTATTTTACTTTGAAGCAAAACGGAAGGAACTGAGAAACCTCATGTTGGCATCATGATCGACTGACGTATGGGATTGCCAAAAGTGAAAGTCGTTTAATATACTGTATTATTTGCAGCAAGCACCACCGCAT